CAGAGTGCAGGAGCACAGACAGGAGCAGTTCTCTCTGTGCCCAGAACTGAAGATGCCGGTCACAGGTGCTGGCGAAACGCTAGGAAACAAAACTTCAAGAACACGGCCACACAGCCCGGAAGACCCACACCAGCCATTGTATGCCGGCCGTGAAAGCCTTCGACAATACAAAAAACCAGGAAGCTTCCCACAAAATATTGCTTGGTGGGGGGAAGAAAATCCAGGCCCCACTAATGGATGATGTGCTTTCACCCAGTGATGAGGAAATTGCTTGACACCTAGACAGGAATTGCTCCAGGTATATGTAGGAATATTTGTGCCCACTGTCAGATTCTTCAACAAGGGTAAGACTTTGCCCTAAGATCAATAAAAACTCCATCACATACCTGGAAAGGAATTACAATGTTGATTGTATCACCAACTTTCTTCATTAAAGTCTGTCTGAGATTGCGTGGCAGCCTAATTTTAGGACGCTCTGTAGATCAAAAATCAAGCCAGAAGATAATTAGTCTGTTTCAGATTACTGTATACATTGTATTTGTGCAAAAAATAAGAAATGATGTTGACAATATATATTAAATATTTATACAATGAAGAACCCATAATTTTTAGGGATATTTAATGGCTACTTGGAGTTTTATTTTTACATTCAAAAACATTTGTGCCATGGCAAATGCTGCAAAGATACATGAAAAGAAGCCACACTGGAGTTGTAACTGTCCAATTAATTATCAATACACATTGGCCATGCTGCTTGAGACTGAGAGAAGTAGGAATCTAAGAACATCTTAAGGGCCATAGATTACTCATCCAAGTTCTACTGGAAATCTCTTGTACAGCCCGGTTTTAGGGGATCCTGGACTCTCTTCTCACACGTGGCCATATTTATTTGCTTATAACTGGGATCCCAACTGCAACAATACATCTATGGAACTTGATTTGGTACCTGCTAAGCAGCTTGAAGTACCTGAAAGTTTGTCAGCTACTGTAAAAAATTGTCTTCATTTAACAAGTCTATACATAATGCAATTCTTGGAGAAATTTATTTTAGTTTCATCAGTGAAATAGGTGCACTGTGATTGGCTGTGCTATCTTGACATTCATTTGTAAATGGATGACAGCCTCCATGACAATTATTTTGTTGGAGCTTCCACAATATGCTTTCAAAATTCAAAATATCCCCACTGGCCCCAAAAGATTAGGAGACTGATGAATTTAAAACGTTAGGAAGAATGAACCCAAATAAACAAATCTATATTCCCTTGTAGTGCAAGGATCTTTTCATTAAAGGAACAATTATAAATGGCTTCAGGAATTCTCTCAAGACACTTACGCAAGATCTCTTGAACAGTAACTGATTCCTTGATCATTGCTGGTTGACTCGCCCCTGCTAAGTTTAAAGCAGTGATGCGAAAATACAATTTGTCACCGGTAACCAAATCTTTAAGTAGGAGAGATGTGCGTTCGATGGGATCAGGAACAGCTGAAATCCATTCTGTGGCTGCAGATATATATATATGTAATATATAGATAATTTTTTTCAAGCATGATTTTATAAGACTATGCCTAATGGCATGATAATTTTAAGCATATTTACTCAAAGTAAGATTAAGGTGAATAAGTTCAACTTACTCAAAAGCAAATTCAGTAGGACCTTATTCTATTAAGTGTGCTTGAGATTGCTAACTAAAAATAACATAAACCTAAGGAGCAGTTAGAGAAGGGAGAGACAGTATTTTGAAAATGGATCTATTGCACAGATCAGAGATTACTGGAGCCAGAGGGATAAACAAAACATAGGTTTGGCAAAGATCGTCCTGTGAATTTATACCTGCAGTTTTGTAAGTTAGCTCATGCTCTGTTATAATTTCTATTTCTATGCATAGTCATCAACATTTTAGGAAACAGGCACCCACTAAAAAGAGAATCTCTGGGACTTTAGCCAGTTTAAACCATATTTCCTCTAATTTTTCCTTCATACGTGACTATGCCATCCTCTCTCTACTTTATCAACCTGAAGATCAATGTCTACTTTAGTAAACACAGCAAAATGGATGCTATTTGCTCCTTGGAAGGGCATTTCAGAACGCATCAGAGCTTACTCACATCCTTCTTTACAGTACTCAATATTGTAGCCATCCAATCCTCCTGCTCCAATCCGTTCAGGTGGCCTCCACTTCAAGGTAACAGAAGTGTCAGAAATGTCTTCTACAGTAAAGTGTGTTGGCTCACTTGGAGGAGCTAAACAGAATGTACAAGCCAAAGACTTTGTATGATATGTGAAAGCTGAGCAACAATGCAATTTTCACTTTCCCTATTAAAAATGTCAAATTGGCTTATAATGTCTTAAATTTTTGCAAAATGTAATTTAAAACCATAGAATCAGCAGTACAATACAAAATCTTAACAAAGGCCCTGTTCCCAGTATACTACACAAAACATTTGTCAGAATAAAAATGGAGTAACCTCTTAAAGCAACCCCTGCAAAGAATCTTAGACTTTGAAACAGCTTCCATAAAAATTGACTTTTGACCGTGAAGATTTCATGCTTTTAGAAAAACAACACCTCCACTGAAGATACTAAAAGTTGAAGAATTTAAGTGTGGGAAAAGTAGTAATATGAACATCACATAGAGCTTGGTGGGTTAACAAAAAACTCTTACTTGGGGTCTGGAAGATGACAGCCATTACTGTATCTTTAGAACTGGATTTCCTAAGCTGAAAATTGGTGAAGAGGGAAGCTGCTGAATTCTGTACTAGTGGCAGCATTTAAGCTCTGTTGTAGAGAATAGATTACACTTGTTGGAGCTCATGATCCCATGGGTATAGCTAAGCAGATGGTGTGACAATTGCTAATTTGACACAAGGAGAAGGCAAATATTATTAGCTAGCATGCCAATATAATGTGTATAATGAATGCTCTTAACTCCAAAATTAACAGCTATAGGCAGGACAAGAAGGGATATCATACTGCTCTCTAGATGGCACTCAATGCTGGGGAGACATTTAGAGAAGCAGAATCTTCTGGTTCAGTAGTCATGAAACAGAAGTATTTGTGGAACAGAGTACTACCACTGCCATTATTCTATTGTCAATATTGCCATTATCATTATCATCATCACCATCGTTACTGAATATTCCTGTACCTATGATATTTATTTATATGATGCTCATTCCCAAAGTCTCTGAGTGGCTTACAATCAGAAATATATTTTGCACAGACGAGCTGCATTTCCAACTTTGAGGTTCTTCTATACCAAATATTTCTCCATCTCAGACTACAAAGACTTCACACTTCACTGATACTCATTCAATAACTGATCCCATTTGGGTTACATGCAATAAGGGGACAACACTTTTAAAAGAAGGTAGGTGGGCTATATTTTCCTGTGCCATATGTGTGCTTTTCATAAATTAGGCAACTTAAATGCTGTGGTATTTAAACACGTTGTGAACACTATTTAAAATATTTCAACTATGCAGAATGTTCCATGCAACAGATAACAAGCCCCCTCTCTTTTCAAAAAGGTTAAAAATGACACAACAGATGGGAAACCTAATGTTAGCATCCAACCTAACATTGTTGCGATAAATACATTTTCTCACTCGCCTTTCTGGAATGACATTCAGTTAAAGCCAATCATTAAAAGTAATTTTAAAAAAGCAGGTGCGTCACACATCGGTGTTTGGATGTGAGCATGTTACCCTAAAATGCACATTACAAACCCAGTGCCTCATCTCCAGAGTTGTAGGTTGGACTTTTATTTCTAATCAAGTAAACATGTTCTTATTTCCTCAAAATCTTGGACCTTTTAGCTCAGCCATTTCCAGTGGGTGCTCTTGAATAGCTTCCTGGAGAGAATCTTCTTTTTCTCCTCCTTCCCCAGTGCAGTTGTTGAATGGCGACTGAAGGTCAGAGCTAATCATTTTCTCTTGAACTATAATTTTTTCTGCTTGTCCACTCTTAGGGTCTTGGATTTTCACACTGTTACTTTCAAAAAGCTCTTTTCCTTCCTTATGGACCTCTGTGAGTTGAACCACCTCTTCGGTCATTGCTATGATTGCGATACCTTAATTGCTCAAAGGCTTCTTTCTCGCAATGATTCACACAGTGTGCCCTTAGCTTAGGGACTGCTACAAAACGGTGAGGGTCATAATTATTATTTATAGAAAATCCATGGATATTTTCTTAATCAGATAGCCTTACAGCTCCACAAGGGAGGTGGAATGGGCGACATTAGTAGTTTGCTACAGTATTTGCACCCATAATGGAATGGGGGAAGGAGAGAGGCAATGGGAGGTCACTGCCAATTAGTTTCCCTCTCTTGTTCAGCCTAGCTTGCCTCTCACACTTCTAATTTTAACGGTTAGAAATTCATCAGCAATTTTATGAAATTGGAACCTCCATGCTGTCATGTTCAAGGAGAAGTAAAAGAAAAAAAAAAGAAACTCTAAGTGGTTATACATCTATTTTCTGTCTTCAAAATTGTTCCCTTCTTTCTTGTTTCTCTTGGGAGGGATTACAAATAATGCAACATGCATGTTGACGCTCACCAATTGGCATGAAAGGCTGTGAGGCAGCACTAGGCCGGGACATGCCAACTGAGTTCACTGCATAAATTCTCATCTCATAAACAACTCCTTCAATCATTCTCTTAGCTTCGTAAGTCAGATCCTTCAAAAGGTCAAAGTTCAGCCTCATCCACCTGTAGCTCTTCTTCTTCTTCCTCTCTAAGATGTATCCTGGAAACCAAAAAGAAACTATAAGGGTGCAGAGTAACTACCTTTGGTCAGATCCCAGTCTAGTAACACAAGCACAACCATTTTGCTTTTGTTGTACAGACAATCGGGTTTCGTTTTACTGCATGCGTTTTTCATGCATATTTGTCATTTAGTTTCCATGTGTATAGATTAGGGTACACAACATTAAATAATACTTGGATGTCCAATGCTCTATTATTTAGCAAATTAAATATTACATTAAATTAAATACATAGAGATAAAACAAAGCTAGTGTGAATATAAGGGAAACCTTGACCCTGAGAATTATCCTTGTAGTTAAGAAGTCTCTCCTTGTAGTTCACAAGGCATTCTTACCAGGGTGGGACTGGTAATACCCTAAGATGAGACTTTTTGGAACTATGATTAGTTTAAATTTTCATACTGTTAGATCACAACATGGCTTTTTGAGATATTTAATGAAGAGCAAGGTTATACATTAATCAGAACGAAAGAGATTACTGTAAACTCATTGTTAGAAATAAAGATAATATTTATTATTTTATATGGCCTCTTAGTTCCTAGAAAAATAAATTTTGCCTTAAACACCTATGTTTATTTTAATAAGCAGTGCCTGTTTCACAGCTGCACATTTTAAAAACTGTTCTAAATTATCAGCCAATTACATATTTATTTAATTTACTAATATGCAGTCTGATACCACATTGTTACTCTGCAGTCACTGTTTTTCCTGAGGCTTCCACATGATTGTGGTTAAACTGACTTGAAGTTGACCCTCTTCCTAATCCTTTGTGTTTCTGTGTTCCTCTCCCAAGCCACACTGGGATTCATTCATTATTCCCTTACTCTGCCTAATGTATCATTATATCATTCTGTATAGAAGAAGCACCATGACCAAGTTGAGATTAACATCTGCTGTGCTCTCATTTCTGAGAAATGTAAAAGCCTGAAGAAAACATCGGTCACTGCTGACAGACAGATAGCTTGGAATAGCCGTTCACCCCTTATCAGGGATATGGATCTACTTAGCAAATCCTACATTAGCCCTGTTCTTATATTTACCACTATAATGGCTGAGGTGGAAGAGTTATAACTTCCCACCTGGGCATAGTGATCTAACTCAGAGCTGGACCTCTGAGAAGTCAGCCTGCTTAAACAAAAAAAAAAAGGAATAGCTACAATCTACATATTATTGTGTAGTTTAACAAACTGTGGCCTAATTCATTTAGCCCAATAACAATACCCACACTATTAAAGGCTCACCCACCTGCACATCAGTTGAAATAAAATATGACTAGCCAACAGCCAAACAGGTTATTTCTTTGGTTAAAAAATCTAAACTTTCAAAGAAGGGTGGACTATCCATGCAGATTGAAATCCCCCCCACCCCAGGTTTCTGTTTCTATTTTTAACATCCAATTACAGCAAGAAGATGCAGAACTTGCAGTTGTGAATGTGATAAGACTTCCCAAGGTCTACATATAGGATTGAACTTTCTGCAAGGCAGCCCGATGCGTTATTGCTCAGGAGGAGATCTCACATTGTTCAATAGAGCTTACTCTCTTCTAGTCCTCTTCAGGACAGAAGTTTTTCTCTATAAGTGATAGCAAGAATTGTTTTTACTCTGAAATGCATAGCTTGATCACTCACTTTCTCTCTCACACACACATACGCTTTATGAAAAAAATACGATTAAATCCATTGCACCTTTTATTAAACTTAGCTTTTTAAAGTAAATATGCAAATGTGGAAGACAATGCTGGTACTTCACTTAGAATTTCAAGTGTCAGGACTATGTAGAGCCCCAGAATAGGGGTTCATGAATCAATATTCAAGTTCAGATCTCTGGTTCCATTCAGCAGGTCAGAGGTGGAGCTAGCAGAACAGCATGATAGCAGGGTCAGAAACATGGCTCCATTGCAGCCACTACACATGGGTAACATATTAACAGGAGATTCAGCCCCACATGCCTTATTAAAACTATTTGAGCTCTATAATGCTAACATGATCTTTGTTTACAGCAGTGTTTCTCAACCTTGGCAGCTTTAAGATGTTTTGACTTTAAACCCCCAAAAAACCCCACCCAGCATGCTGGTGGGGGGTTTTTGGGT